CACAAGTATTTCCACAGAAAAGTGTTCGAAAGCATTTCTAGGTAAATACATATTATACATACATATGTATGTACCGAATGCGCTGAAACATTTCTCACAAATATTCAATGTATTTTACATTGAAAAGACTTCTTAAGTGAAAATGGCTTAGTTCACAGATAAATAAAATATGTACTTTGTATCTTGTGACCAGAAAGTTTCCGGAAATTGTAAATAAAACGAAAAGTTTTTAATTTTCATCAATATTTATTTGTCGCCTTCAAAATATGCTCCTTCTGAAGCGATACACATATGCCACCTCTTTTTCCAATCATCGAAATATGCCTTTTAGGCGCTTTCAGATTTTTTGGTACAAGGCAAGCATTGACGCGTCTCATGCCAAAATTATCGGTCAAAATCAAACGAGCTGCTTCACGGCAGATGTTAAGCTTACATGCTATCTCTCTAACATTCGCATGACGATCATCGAGCACGATTTCCTTCACTTTTTTGATGTTATCGTCAGTGGTAGACTTCGACCGGAGCGAGGTATGTCTTCGACGGTTTCTCGACCATCCCTAAAGGCTTTGTATCAGTCGTAGACTTGGGTTTTCGATAAAATAGATTCACCATAAGAATTTTCTAATATTCGTAACGATACTTTTTTCCATTGTAAAAATCGCAAAACACTACTGATTTCAACAGCTGCTGCAAAAAAACTGGTTGACAGATCGCGCTCATAGTAATTTAGGACAGTGCGAACAACTTAACAAAAAAAAAATTTCTGAGAAATATTCAGTGCGAGCAGTTTAAATAACAATTTCCGGAAACTTTCTGGTCACAATGTATTACTTGGAAAGCACATCATTAATGTGCCCATAATTGATAGTGGGTTTGGTAACTTTTAATGTAAAACTCTTCACTTTGACAAGTTTTACCTTGTGTAGGGCACGACTTCTCAAAACACTTTATGCTGCGCTTCAATCAGTAAAATACTTTTGCGCAAAAACTTTTTATAGTTTTTGTTTCTTGTGCTGAGAAAAGGCAAAACAACATTTATATTTAGAAAAAATCTTGAGAATGTAACGATGCTTGTATTAAATAACCCAAGCAAACCAGTGAGCAAGAATCACTTGCTTCTTGGGAAACAGCAAAATCGTAAATTTTATAACATTTATCGCACAAACAAATGATAAACATTCAAAACAAGTAAAGAAGAGCTAAGGTTTTGGCAATATTAAAAAACCAATTTCATTTATATCGCGCCCCAACCATTAATCTAATTATACAAATTTTAAGAAAACGTGTCCACTTAATTTTATTTAAATATCACACAATTTTACCAACCTAAACGGGGTTTAAAGTCAGATGGAATTCATTATAAAGGGCGTATTAGGGGCAGAGAAATAAAGTGCTGTTTGCATTAATTTTTGCCATTGTTCAGGCATACTTGAGAACTTATTTTCAAGCAATTTTTTAAATATATAAATATATATGGAGTCAAGTCAGCTTTTATTAGAAAAATACGCTCTCTCAATTTCATTAAAATAACTCGCATATTGACCGATATGTATGGTATGTGGTCAACTGAAAGTTGGAAAATTTTAATATTAGGTATAAGGAAAGTATTGACCCGATTCAACCCATTTTCCACTTAAGGATATATTATTACCATAAAAAACATTTAACCAGAATTTCAATAACATATCTCACAGATTCACCGATAGTTTCGGCAAAAAAGTCACCATACGAACTGGGGTCCACATATTCGGTATGTTGGGGCTTGAACAGTTATGGTTCGATTTTGACAATTTTTACACTTGAGATGGCATACCACAAAGGTACTATTTGTGCAAAGTTCCATCCGCATATATTCGTTAGTGTTTTATACTAAAAAGTGAAAGAATCAGATGGAATTTAAAATTATGTTATATGGGAAGTGAGCTTGATTGTAGTCCGATCTCATTTCATTCATTTAATATGCGATGACATGATCAAAAATGACCCGGACTGATAAAAAAAAATACGTTTTTGCATACAAATTTTTGTTATCGCTCTCGAAATAGGCTCCTTTTGAGCCAATACAAGCTAAACAACGCTCAATCCATTTTTCCATACACTTGTTATAAGCGTCGGCCACGATGGTCTTCAGTGAATTTTTCTTTTTTCAAGTTTCAGCTCATTTTTGGAGCGCCATTCGGTAAATTGTGCCACAGTCATCTTCATAAACCCATGTCTCTTGACCATTGATTATGCGTTTAATGAAATTTAATGAAAAGACTGAGGTGTTTTGGTGCGAGTCTAGCATTGACACGCTTTGCACCAAAACGTGCTGAGTCGATCAATAAGAGATGCTGAAATAATCTGCTGGCTCACTGATGTAACCACGCTGATTTACAAGGATTGTTTTTTTTTTACTTTTTCGATACTATGGTCATTAACCGAGGTGGGTGACACGACCTTCACTGAATGCTTTGTGCCACTCAAACACTTGTGTTCGTGATAAAGTAGATTCACGAGAAAATATGTCAGCAAAATTTTCAACGATTCCGTAGCTGTGATTCCACTGGAAACACAAAATTTCAAGCAAACTGGTTGTTGCTTTTTTTTCCATGGTAAAAATCTCCAGATAAACTTTTCGCGTCGTAAAAAAACAGCAACTAGTTGACATATGGTGATCAATTTTCACACGAATATAAAAAAGGTTGTACTAATCCAACAAAAATTGTTTATCGATTCGGTTTACGTGCGAGGTGACCAAGACGAGTCAAATTTGATCAGATGGTAAAATTAAATTTGGTCTTATATGAGAAAAAACCGAATATATTTCTCACATCGTTCCCACATAATTTAATGTTGTATTTTTATATTATCAGATAGTTTAGGAGTTTTTGTTCGCTGGGCAAATATTTACTTATGCTCTGATATTGTACATTATACACGATGCCGGCTTATGTACTTGCACAAGACTTAATGTGGCATGTATATACTTATGCCTAATGGAGGTTACTTCAGCTTTTGTATTTTAGCGGCGTTATCCTGTGAAGGATTGCCTGCTACAAATATGTATATTGTACATACATACATACATGTTGTGAGTACTTTATAGAACTAAGCATGAGTACAAATGAATGATTACAATTGCAAAGTTACATTAAGATCAAAATTTTTTGGCTTTCACGCTCATAAAATCAGTTAACTGAAGTAACAATCAGTGTATGTATGTATGTACTTTCTTAAATTCCAAAGTGTGTTAATAACAAAATTTATGCCGTGTCATGAACTTCTTTACGTAAAAGCCATAAGCGTTTTGGAGCTGGTATATTTTTAGGATACTTCACACATTGTTTGAAATCCGCCTTTTATAATTACTAGTATACAAAACCGGTCACAAGTAAAATGCCCAAAAAAATTAATTATACTTTAATAAGGGGACCCTGCAAATAATAGAAAAAATTGTTCTGATCGGACAACTATGGCGTATAGCTACCCTAAATGCTATAAGAAATTAGGCGGGGAAGGGTATAATAGCGTCGGTGTTGCCGAAATTAGCTTCTTTTCATACTTTCTTATGTGTGTTGTTGTTGTTATTTTTATCCGAAATGTTGGCGTTTAATTTTCCACCCCAAAATAACCAAGAATGCGTGAATTTGTTGGTAGCAAGAATATAATCGATTTAATTGAAGTGACAATGATGCTGAGTTGCTTTTCTACCGGCCTATGAGCTTATGTGTATGTATGCATATTTATAAGTATATATCTATCTATTCAGCAGTTCATCAGACCCATATTTAATTATTTGTATTTACGTATGTATTTTACCATTATGCAATCGTATATACATATACATATAAGGTACTTAAATTGTGTGTGTGTGTTCTCTATAGAAATTTGATGGTTGCAAAAAATCATCCCACATAATGTGAGCAATAAAGGCATTAACCAAATGTGCCCGTAATTCATACATAATATGCTTATTAGTGGTATTTCTTCATATTTAGAATTGATAAAGACTAAATTGGTTAATATTATGTTTCACGGAAAATAAATTAAAGGAGTGAGGTATATAAGTAAAGTGAGGAGTATAAGTAAATTTTGTATGAAGTAAATTGAAACACATATTATATAATAAATATATATGAATCGCTGAGTTGATTTAGCCATGTCTCTCTGTGCGTCTATCTCTCCGTCCGACAGTCTGTATATAAGCGAACTGGTCCCTCAGTCTTCTTCTCAAAAAGCTGCGCATTTGTTGGAACCGATATCGGACTACTATAAGATGTAGCTGCCATACAAACTGGCCGATCAATTTCAAGTATTTGTATGGAATAATCAAGTCCTTGTATAAAAACCTTTTTTATTTCACAAATTATCTTCACGATCATTATCCACGTCATTGTAGATTGTAACAAAAACATGTTGGTCAGATCGGATCAAGATAAATATTTTTCTTTACCCTTTTTATACCCTAAGACAAGGAATGCGTATGTGAAGTGTATTATAGCTTCGGTTCAGTTAACGTTTTTTCTATTTTCATCACTGCTTCTTATAAGATTTACCACAAGTGTATGAATAAGCTCTGCATCCTTGACTTTTGAAAATACATACATATGCTATTAAGATACACCACGACCGTAAATATAATATCTTGTTCAAAAGCCATTGTAATTTTACTAAAGAATTAAATATTTATATTAATTGCCTATCACGTTTAAAGCTTATTACTTACTAAGCCTCAAGTCATATTTATGAATGAGCTGACGTTTTGAAGAATATGCTATTTTGAATGTTTTTGCTTTTTATTTTTTCCTTGTGTATTATTATTTGTAAAATGCCCCCTTTTGTATAAAAAAAGGAGTAGGTTAAGGAGTAGGAGCTGGTTTCACATTCAAGAGAGAAATAATTGGACGCTACTTTGTCGTCATGCATTATTCATCTAAAATAACACTTACCTGTTGTTGTTAATGCTACAGAAAGAAGCGAGCGGTCTTCATTGTTCTTGTTTATTTTTCCACTTTCAGAAGGACATCTTGAGCAACACTAACAAGGAGATTATATTTCCAGTATGTATATACATATGTGTGCAATGGTCTTAATATAAAACTAGTAGATAGTGAAGAGACTCTGCAAATAGTTAGTTACTATATATTGCTTTATTGTAAATAAAAAAGTATCTGTGACGTGAGACAAAGGATTCAGTTATTCAGCAAGAATAATACAAGGAATGGCAATGGCAAATATTGATTATGATTTTTTGATGAAATTTCTTGCACTCGGCGATTCTGGAGTAGGCAAAACAAGTTTTTTATATCAGTATACTGATGGTCAATTTCATTCACAATTTATATCAACGGTGGGCATTGATTTCCGGGAGAAACGATTGGTGAGTTCTTGAAATTAACTTGTTATATTTCGCTTGAATTCATTATATATTTGTAATTTAACATACGCTTATTTGAAATATCACTAATTAATTGCATAAAAAACACTAAAAACTTAAAATTTCTCACAATAAAATATGTTTGAATTACTTAACACTAAATAGTTGAAGAATAGCTCAATTTAATTTCAAACTGTCAAATACGTGAATAAATGATTTATGATTTGCAGGGTGACTCAGATAATTCGCTCTATTAATAATTAGAGTGAATACTTGATTCAATATAACTATTTGAATGAATATATACAGACATATATATGTACATACAATATATAAATCAAAACAATATGTATGTGTGAATATAATTCGAGTGCTTATCAATATTGCTTTATTTGCTCACATTTTAACGATTAACATATTTATATATCTCTTTGTTTCTCTCCATGTGCTGCTTCTTTAGATATATACATATCGTGGACGAAACCATCGTATCCATCTTCAACTCTGGGATACTGCCGGTCAGGAACGCTTTCGTTCGTTGACCACTGCCTTCTATCGTGATGCAATGGGTTTCCTGCTCATCTTCGATTTGACCAACGAGAAATCTTTCCTTGAAATCAGCAATTGGTTAGAGCAATTACGTATGCATGCCTATTCAGAGGATCCGGATGTGGTTTTATGCGGTAATAAATGTGATTTAGAAGCCGTGCGCGCTGTTAGTCATGAGCAAGTGCGTGCACTTTCAGCTCGTTATGGCCTGCCCTACATCGAGACAAGCGCATGCAGTGGCTTTAATATAAGACAAGCTGTGGAATTGTTGGTGGAACGTGTCATGTTGCGTATGGAGAATGTAGCTACCAATTCCGAATTGTCACGATTAATGACACAGACGCGTTGCATGCCAAATATAAATCTCCCGAGTAGTGGTGGGAATACAGTACGTTTGGGTTATGGGGATATGGAGTTAACGGAGGAGCAACAACGTAGTCGAAATTGTAAGTGTTAGACGATGAAATGAAATTATATAGGTCATTCTATTTTAACTCAAAGCTGTTTTGTACAATAATTTTAATAAATGTGTATTTAAATGTGTGAATTTGTGAAATTAATAAACTAAATAAAAAGAGGTGCCAATGTTGTTAAAAATTAATATATTATATTATATACAAATTAACTGCTCAATTAATGTAATGTTCGCTCAAATGTATAGTATACTATTAAATGTAAACAAAATTGTTTGTAAAGATTTAAAAATATATATATTTACATACATATACATATATATAAATAATTACTATGAAAATATAAAATCCTACTTATGTATATACATAAATAAAGTCGTTTATTATTATCATTAAAATAAGTAACCTATAGCCATTGTAAAGCTTATCGATAGGAAACCAAATTTAAAACCCACTTGCGCTGAAGAATTGCGACTATCAATCCAATTACGATAGTAGCTAACATTCGTGTAAATCCCAGGGTATCCGCGTTGCGCACAACCATTGCCCCAAGACACAATACCGACCAGCTCATTGTTACAAACCAGCGGACCACCGGAGTCGCCTTGACACGAGTCGGTGCCACCCGCTAAGTATCCGGCGCATAACATGCCTTCAACAATACCGCTTCCGTATGAGTTTCTACAAATGTTTTGTTGTATAATGCTTACATTAGCCATCATTAATTCGTTCGATAGCACACCCTGTGCGGAAATAATAATGCAAGATTTTAGTTAAAGAATATACTAATTAAGATATAAATTGCATACCGTTATAGTTTTACCCCAACCCGACACCTGACATAGAGTTCCCGGCGCAATTGACGAATTACTCAGTGCAATCGGAGATATAGTCAAATGAGTTTTATTCACTGGTAGTCCCGACTTTAAGAACATAACTCCAACATCATCACGCATTGTATTCAAACTAAAGGAGTTCGTATAAGCAATCGAACTTACATCTGAAACAATAGTACCATTGACACGTGTAAAACGATTTTGTGTGCCCATTACAACTACAAATTCGCGCGCCTTCCGATAACGCTTCTTATCTGAACTGAAATTAGATAAAATTGCTTTTTAATATACATATAAATGCACCCATCTATATATGTATATGTGCATGTAGATGTAGATGTAGATCGGACCACTATAACAAATAGCTACCATACAAATTAAACGATCGGAATCAAATTTTAGTAAGGAAAACTTTTTCTTTTAACAAGATATCTTTATAACATTTGGCTCAGATTATTGCCTAAGGCAACTATAAAATCTCCGAAAAAATTGTTCAGAACGGACCACTATAGCTGCCATGCAAATTGACCGTTCAAAACAAGTTCTTCTTCGGATTTTTTTTTGTTTTTAAGAAGGGAATTATGGCTTCGGTGTAACCAAAGTTAAAGTCATATGTTAGTTAGTTTAAAGCAATACGATCTACTAAACTTCAAATTATATTATTATTTTTAAATTTAATTTAAATTTGTTAAAAGGTCAATTACTTACTCATATAAACAATGTGCTGCCGTTACAACTTTATTTGGCCCGATTAATGAACCACCACATATATGTCCGTTTCCAAATATCCGATCATATATCTTCAGTCGTATAGATACTTGAAATTTGGTTCTCGATACAGGTGCCGTTATGCCATTTATGATACGTGGATCCAATTTCGAATCATTCTGTGAGTAAGCTGAAAAAATAATATTAACTTTTTGTCCTTTTAAGAATTTAAAATGTATATAGCAAACATTGCACAAGCTTAGTTGTCTTTCCAAAATGTTTAAGTATCATTCGTTATCCGTTTAAGTAAATAAATTTAAAAATACTATATTTTTTATCAAAAGAGAACACTTTCCGTTAATGGTGTTCATTTCTAGTCATTTAACGCATTTCTTCTTCGATTATACAAACATTCATACATATATTTATTAACCGTGAACCAACATTTTCGGTATTAGTATTTACCTCCGAAATCAAAGATTTGTAAATTTTGTAATCGCGATAGTTAGAAATAATAGCCACTATTAAAATGAAATATACTGTTATATTGAAAAATATTGAGTTATATTGGCAGCAATTATATTAAAAATTCGAATAAATGGGCAAGTATATTTCTAGTGATCCTCAGAACTCAAGTGCGTCAACTAAAGTATGTTAAAATGTATGTGTGATGTTTTATGCAGAAAAGTTCTAATTTGAATTGGCACGTTTTGCTGCTAATGAAGAATGTAGAATGCTATCCCAAGTTATTGATTTTGATAAAAAATCCAATAACAGCGTTGAATGATACGTTGCACAATTGCACATATATAGAATGTATATATGTATGTATTTATACGGTATGAAAAATATTGATACGTTTTTGCTAATGTATTTGCTGCTGTTGATAAGATAGTACATTCAATAACGTATTTCAAAGTGTTTCACCTATTGATTACTTGTCATATAATATTGCAGTTGTCAGTACTTTTTATAATTTGTACAAGCCTTTGCTATGAAGTTTGTCACACCCAGAAGGAAACGTCGGAAAACGAAAGTATTTGTATGGAAAACTTATTTATTTGACAAGATATCTTCACGAAATTTTGGATGGATTATTGTCCAACGCTACAATATTCGAACAAATTATTTAGATCGAACCACCATAGCTTATAGCTGCCATACAAACTGAACGATCAAAACCAAGTCCTTATATGGAAAACTTTTTTATTTGACAAGATAACTTCACGAAATTTTGGATGGACTTTTGTCTAAACTAAACTAAAATCTCTAAACAAAGTTTTTTAGATCGGACTACTATAGCATATATCTGTTATACAAACTGACCGATAAAAGTAAAGTTTGGGTATGAAAACTTTTTTATTTGAGAAGGGTATTAAAGCTTTGGTGCAGCGGTGAATAATGTTTTTTCATGTTTTATCAATTTTCAATTAATTATAATATTGCAACAATATATTTTGATTAAAAGCTGTAAAATTAAGTTCACTTGTAAGTTTTATGATGTCACTTTCTCTGTAGATTTGTGTATATACATACATATATTTGAGATATTATATTAAAATATTTTTACTTAAATATTTTTTAATTGTTCTAACGGTTGTTCATTTTTGTAGCTTTTCAACAGGTATATAGCACTATTAAAGGTGTGTATTATATAGATACACACATTTATTTTTTCTTTTTTCATTATTATTTCATTTCAGAACACAATTTTTAAGACATTTTTAATTTTTTGTTTTAAACTTAAGGGTTGCTTACATTTTTCAAAACCAATCACCAACACAAATAAAATTAAACTTCGGAATTGCATTATTATAAAAGTAAAATATCACTAAGTAACTCCAAAATATTCGAAAACCCAATTATCCAACCGTTGTGAATATTACCGCGCGAGGTCCAAATTACGTATGAGCAACAATTGTCAATCCAATCATTTTTCACATTTTTGCCAATAGCGGTAAATTATCAACAAAAAAAAAAAAAAACACAACAACATTCTATTATCAGTAACAGGCAAGGGTAGGATAAGATTTGTGATAACAATTCAACAATATTTATGAATATATAGACAGATAGGCTGATTCACGTATGTATAGTCAAGTGAGAATCGTTAAACTACTATGAGAGCACTTTGATTGTACAACAAAACAGCTTTGTATAATATATAATTTAACTACTAACAATATTTCAATTATATATTATCTATGTGAGTAGGTTTAAAAGTTTATCATAAATTACTGAAGGCCAAACATCAAAGAAATGTTAACAAATGTTATCAGTTTGTCTGTTTAAGATATTACGTCATATATGTATGTAGAAGTAAAGATATTAGTAGTAGAAGTAGTTTTTTTTTTTTTGTTTTCTTAAGACCGAAAATTGTAAAAAATGCAATTAAATGTTTTATCGAAAAGTGTCTTTATTAAAAAAGAATTGGTGTTAATATACGAGCTTACAATAACGTTTCATTTTCGCATTGCACTATTTTCAAATATATAGTAAATTCTTATTTGACATAGTTTGTATTACAAGTAGATATGTATATGTTTGCATAAATTTGGACGGATTAATGATAATGTAATAGCTGTTTTGTAAATATTCAAGGTACAAATATAAAATATATAGAAAGGTATGTATGTATACAAAAGTCATTGGCTAAATACAATTCAATTCAACTATAAAATTAAGGCACTTCTTTGCTTAAGAATGTCGGTTACGATATTATTAGAATATATATCGAATTGTAGTTGAACGAACGCATATAAAGTTATGCTATATAATGCTAACGAAGTAATCGTTTTCAATTTGTGAACACACACTTAAAACTAATTGAAATCGTAAAATGGACAAAATCGTAAGAGGTTTTGAAATACTCTCCTCAATATGAAAAACTTCATAAATGAAATATTAAATTTTAAAAAAATGTTTCGTTGTTTTGATTTTTATATGTATCCATGTAGACTACGTGAGGTACTATGATGATGTCTAGGCGGTTGATAGCCAGGCTCCTGCATTTCCATTTGCATAACTAAATTTTTCTGTTCACCGCGTAAATCGTATGCATAACGGGCTTCCCGATGTAAAATCATCGCACCCAAACCGAGTGTGATAAAGGAGACAACAGCAACTGCATAAGACCAGCCCAGCACATTGAATTTCGGATACATAAGCCAATCACGACGGTAGGCACAGCCACCAAAAATGCATACAGCCAGAAATAGTAGTAGTGCTATAAAAGTAATTAACACCAAAATAATTAATTATAGGTGCGCAATAAATGCAGTTACTTACAAGCGCCCGCTGTACAAAGATAAGAAATTCTGATCATCAACCATTCATATTGCAGCACACCTTTCAAGGGTAGACGTATAACAACTAGTGCCAAGAGCGCTAATGCTTGGAATGTTGAAAGAAAAGCCAAAGTAACACAAGCTTGTACAGCCATTAACCAACCAGGTAGCAGGTACTCTCTAATAACATAGTATTCCTAAATAAATATTGTAATTAAATTATGTATTTAAAAAATATACCGTATAATTGCTTACATGACTGAAAATATTATGACATCCATTGAATTGGCGTGGAAATTGGTAATATGGATACACAAAATTCTTAAAACAATATTCCCATAAGCCCATATTCTTGAAGCTGCTATGCGTTTCCTCATACGACTCAATCCAGTACGGCGAACAGAATGCCATCATGAGAAAGAAATAGGCCACAAACGTAACCACGCCGCCAAGCACAACGCCATCTAAAGCGAATGAAAATTGAGAATTTGTTTTGTAATGTTCACAAATTAATTGGTGAATCAGTATTTAGGGCTGAGACTGCTTTAATAGATCTGCAACCGAACAATTTTTGTTAGCACTCACTTGATGCACGCGGATAATCGCCTTTTTCAGTGCTGGTATCCGTTGTGTCTTGCGACTGTTGCTTTGCAAAGTTGCGCATTTCTTTGGGTATATAACTTATTTATTTTCGATAAAAAACTGCTTTGTTTAACAACAACTAGAAAATGCACAATTCTAAATTACACTAAAACTATTGTCAACACACACTCTCACACAAGAAAACACCGCCCTGATAAAGGTGTGGACAAAATGACATTTGTAGACGTCAAATGAAATGTCAATTTGAAATAAACGGTTTTGCAGCCAGTGTATTAGCAACAAACTGTTGCGCTGCCTTTAAAAACATTCGTAATTTAAATAACATGCGTAATAACTGCAAAAATATATGGTTTTTATTTATTTGAAAATATATTGTTATAGTATTATTGTACTAGAATCTTTTAGTGCTATTATAACTATTAGATTACTTTGTTTGGTTTTATTTTTTAATTTATTTAATGAAGAGTTGCAAATAATGCATTTAAAAAATTATAATAAATAATTAAATTAGCATTTAACATACATTTAAAAAACAGTTCAATTAATATTTTTATTAATTTTTTTTGTAATCCCGATTATCTTAATTAAACAATTTTCCAAATTTCCGTATAAAGAAATTATATATACATACATTGTTAATCTCAAATACTGGAATAAAAAATAAAATCCAAAAACCGGATTAAATATAAAAAATGTATCTTAAAATCGTATTGAAAATAAAAGTATATTTAAAAGTTGAAAAAAAAATAAATTTAGAATAAATTGTTTAGAATTTATTTTTTCTCTTTTGCGTACTTCGTGTTCCACGATTTTGGTTAACCAGATTTTTCAGTTAGAAATATGTAAATCTTTATCAATTTTTAAATTAAAAAATATTTTCTCAAAATCAGAATTAAAATTAGAAATTTAAATTTTTAATCCCAAATTTTTGAATTAAGAAACTATATTTTTTTTTTATCTTGGATTAAAAAACTGAATTAAAAATTGAAAATTAAATTTTTAAACTTAAAGTTTTGAACTAAAAATGCGCAATCCTGGTGTAATGCTGCTACAGAAAGTGTAAATAATATTATCAATTTTAAATTTTTATATCAAAAATTGTTTATGTTCATTTAAAACTTATGCAATTTTTATAAATTATTGCAAATACCATAAATTTCAAATAATTGACTATATATTATTATATCTACTTATATATATGTATATGTATTTAAATCATGCCAACCATTTAGGATTACAATTTAGCCTCTTTCGACGTAAATATACCATCCATTTCATCGACATGCTGATGCTCCAGATGCTTCATATAAGCCAGAAAGCAAGTCCATAACAAACTACAAACACTGATGAAAGGCACTCGATTCTTCTCTGGTACGACGGAGAAATTTATTATGCCAACAACGGGCCAAATTGACATAGCCACCTTTGAAAGCACAAGTAAATAGTTTTGTAATAAAAGTTACCATTTTACTCACCTTATATGTGGGTATGAATTTCTTGCGCACCTCCGCAGCGGCTTCGTCCACGGTCTTCATTTCCAACAGACTCATTAGGAAATAAAAGCATGTCATGGCAGCAGGTGTGTAGGAAATCTGTTCGACGGCTGTTTTGAAAACGGCTGTCTGTAGGGATGTCCGTGGCCACATGGCGCTGGAGACCTTAATCCAACTGTAAAGTGTTGGCGCAACGAAAAGCCCGCCATATAGACTGAAACGTAATGCACGCCACCAATCGTAATCCGCTAGTTGGAAAATTGAAATAAGTTTAAATTTAACATTTTTAAAGTAAAACATTAGTAAATTCAATCAAAAATTAAAAACAAATTATTTGTTCAAAAAATAAAAAAATTCTAAATATGCTTTAGAAATAAAAAAATGTTAAAAGAAAATTATTAAATAAATCATGCTAAAAAAGTAATTACGCCATCTTCTCCCTTCGAAAGTCTGTTGTATGAGTGAACTTGTCGGCCAAATCAGGCTATAGGACACCATACCTCGTGTAACGGGATAACGCTGTAGCATCTTCTTGAAATGTTGTAATATGGCAGCCATTTTTATGTTGATTTTATATTAACACAGATTATTTATTGCTTAATACTTAGTTTATAATTCCCATTCACTTTAATCATTTTTTAATAAAAGTTGTTAAGTTTTTGTTTTGTTCATATCAGAGTACACGTTTGTTTTAATTTTTACAAAACTAGCAACAATGTTTTTGATTTATCTATGAATAAATGAAACTGAAGAAAATAATCAGAAATTAAAAAATTAGGTCATTTCGAAAGCATTATCTTAGAATTTATTCGTTATTTTGCTTTTTTATGGTTTGAATAGTTATCGGGCACTACATACCAGGTGTACCGGTATGAAATGAGCGGTTCAATGTAAAAATGAAATACTAATTTTGAATGGGAAAGTTGAAATCAAAGTATTGACCATTGCGTTTTGAACACCTTTCTGGCAATTTGTGGATATACATGCCAATAGAAATGTTCGTCTTTGGAAACAAACCAATTGCATACCCAATTTTCGACTTCTTCGTAGAAATCGAAGTGCTGCTCAGCCAATGCGTGTCTCATCGATGAAAACAAATGGTAAGCGGAAGGGACCAAGTCTGGTGAATACCGCGGGTGGGGTAGATGCTCCCAGCTAAGTATTTTGATTGTATCCTGAACCGACTTTGCTTTGTATGCAGGTTCATTGGCGTGTACCAAAATTAGTTTGCCGTGTCCGTGTTGGCCCATAAACGACCATAATTCAATCAATCATGGTTCAAATTGATGATTTGTTATCTGTAGCAATTAGTATTAACAGTTTCACCAGGTTTAAGAAACTCACGATATACCACACCCTTCTGATTCTTACCGAATTGATCTATTTTTGCAGTCGATGTTGATGGTTGTCCCGGATTAACCCATGATTTTTTCCGTTTAGAATTCTTAAAATAAATTTCGTTGCCCGTGACAATTTGATGCAAAACCGATTTTCTTTCGTGTCTTTAAAGCAAAATATCGCAAGTTTTTTTTTCGGTTTTCCATTTGTATTTCACACATCTCATGTGGCACCCATTTTCCACACTTTTGGATCTTTTCCATAGCTTTCAAACTGTCTGAAATTCCTTGTTGTGCAACATTTAACATGGCTGCCAATTGCTTTTGACTCAAAGCATCATCTTCATCCAATATTGCTTGCAGTTCGGCGTCTTTAAACTTCGAAACCATCTAACCATCTTTTGCATGTTTCTTCTAATAGAGCATGATCACCATATACCGCGCCAAGCATTCGTTGCGACTCTGCAGCACTTTTCTTCAAATGGAAACAAAAAATTAATGCTTTCTCCAAATCATCACATTCCGGTACAAATTTTGACATTTTCAGCACAATGAAAAAATATGATGTTGTTTGTTCAAAGACTGTAAGGTTATTGAATATGTTTGACAGATGTCATGCCATCAAACAAAATAAATAAAGGCTCGTTCACAACAAATGGTCCCTACCAACACATTTGTATCTTAACGCTCACTTCATACCGGTAAGCAGGCCCTTGTATAGGAAAACATTTTTACTTCACAAATTAGTTCCTTAGTTTTTGAGCTATCGAACTGAAATATTTTACCTTTTCCTTTCTTTTCAAGAAACTGTCTTTATGTCCGAATCGCCGATATCGGAACACTATGGGATATAGCTACCATAAAAACTGATCATTTGACAGAAAAATACATTGTTTTGTGGCGTTATAAACGAACACAAGGAGGAACTTTGGTAACAATTACCATGACAGTTTGACAGTTTATGCGTAAACATTCACGACTACAAACCGGGTAAAAGTAAAGTAACGAATAATTCAGTGCTTAAATAAAGGCTTAACTCTATAATTATTTTTTTTTTGGTCTTGATGCTTTTCTAAGGAGGTCACGAGTACCACTATATACATACATATGTACATCCATGGTTCTAAATTAGTTATTTAAGTTAAATGAAAGGGGTAATTAAAAATATTTATATTTCATTCATTAGGTACACATATATATATGAATATATGCGGGTAAGATTCCTCGCTTTTAATTCATTTGAATAACTGTATATTTTAATAAATTTTTCCACACAATTTTCATATATTGCACTGCATTACTTCCGCCTGATTACTTCTTTGTGCTCAAAATGCTGGCCTTGATTTTGAAAAAGTGCAAGCACAGTTTTAAACACAATCATAGAAATATATGTGCAACTAAAACTACCTATGTATATTATCTGTGGCTAATTTTAAAAGCTCACATATATTTTTCTGATTGTTGTTTTTTTTTTGTTTTTAAATGCATAAGTGAGTATATATGTATTTACGCGAGTACTTGCATATTTTGTTTTATTTCTGCCAAATACACCCACGTACTTATAAGGCTATACGCACATACATACATACATACATACATATGTAACAATAAATTCGCTGGAACTCTGTTTTCCATTCTACACCGATGCACAAAATAAAACGCTAAGCACATACATAAAAAAAAAATATATGTATATATGTATATGTGTATGTCTAGATTTTCTTATCACTTTTCTATGCAATTCAGGCAAAGGTCGAGTATACGCAACTCCGCCCCATGTTGCCGCAATTAACCTAAATTCGCAGTTATGCAACTCGACCGTCAATTTTGTGTTGCAATATAAACGCGTTCTAAGCGCAAACCACGACGCATTCAGTGCGCAGTCATAACTCAGTCGCATCAAACAAACATGGCTCAAAGCAGTGGATTTGATTGGCTGCTTTTGGTTTACGGTTTAAGCCTACTTTGCCTAGTTTCCAAGTGTAATGCATTTTATTCCCGTATTGTAAATGGCACACAGGCTAATGAGGGCGAATTTCCTTTTGTGGTGAGTAAATGAGAATGTGAAATGAGTCAACTTTTAGTCAAAACAATTTAAGTTAGAAAGTTCGCGGCAGTTTTAAGTTTACAATTGAATATTCTTATCCTCGTTCGGTAAAGGTATCCCTGCGCCGCGCCTCCGATGGGCGTCACAAGTGTGGCGCTTCGCTGTTGAATCGTGTGTGGGTGCTTACCGCTGCGCACTGTGTGGTGAAAACGCAACCCGGGCAATTGACTATACAATATGGCGGTAACGAATTGGTTGCGAACAGCATCAAAGTGTCGAATGTCAGTAAGATAATAGTGCATGAAAATTATGAACCGGGAAATTTGCATCTTAACGATATTGCGTTGTTGCGCCTGCAAACGCCACTCAAGTTTGGTTCTAAAGTGCGCGCCGTGCACCTGCCGGCAGCGCAACAGGATACGGTAGAAGCTATGCCCGCAGTGTTGCTTGGTTGGGGACTGAATGCGGTGAGTGTGAAAAAATGGGAAATTTCCAAATTTATCTCACTTAAATGTCTGTCATTCATCTCTTCCAGACCGGTGGCGTCATACAAAAACATTTGCAAAAGGTGCACCTTCAAACGTTTAGCGATGAAGAGTGCAGTCAATGGCATGGCACACAATTGCACCCAACAACCATCTGTGCCGGTGTGCCGGAAGGTGGTCGGGGGCAGTGTAGCGGCGATTCGGGCGGACCGTTGCTGGTGGATGGTCAACAGGTGGGCATTGTTTCTTGGAGTCGTAAGCCTTGTACTGTGGCACCATATCCCGGTGTGTTTACGGAGGTTTCCGCCTATGTGAATTGGTTGCAACAGATGATCGGAAATGATCGCGATGATGGCGATTGGGGTGAGAGCGGTGAGTCGTGGGAAGAATTGACAACGGGGAATCTCATTATAGTGCGTAGTAAAAAGAGAGTGGCCAGCTTGTTGGCTAAACACAAGACAAAATAAATTATAAATAACAAAGAAATTAAAACATTTTTTTTCTTTCAAAGAGGAAGAGGAATCCCACTCGATTAAGATGAGTAACAAATAGCAGAATTTAATAACGATAGGTAAACCCTCTTGGAATGAAAGGGCGTTTAGCAGACTACTTCTAGTATTTAGAAAAGAATACATTAGCAATGGTGCATATAAGGAAGGAGAAAGGTCATATTATTTCATCCTTCTTCATGGTCGATCACAGTTCCTCAAGCGGCGTTTCCATGAAGAAAGAGCAAAGATTACTTAAATCTTGGCAGAATAGCTGATATTATGCTATATAATGCTATTCTTAGCAAGGATATCTACCTCTAGTGTGGTGAAATTCTGTAATATTATGCCTATCAGGCAAGATACTGAGGAAATCTGTCTACTACTTTTACTATTAATGAAAAAATCGTGCTGTTCTGTGAACAAAATTGCTAGCGACGTGAGGCCAAAGGTACATCGGCAGAACTGGCTGATCGGTTTATATAATATTTACGTGAGGTTATGTGTACCTTCAAAATATCATAATTGTAGACTGAAGTCAAATACCCCAGTGATTTTTCGGAATCAAAAAATATAAAAAAAACTACTTCAACAATTCTTTTAAAATTTTAATGGGTTATTTATACTTATTTTATACAATGAACAGTAAAATTTGTGAAAACAAAGATAAAATAATTTTCGAAGTACTTGCGATCTTCTCCGTGGATGAAACTTAAAATAAATGCAATTAGAACGGCTAAAAAAATATCAAAAATTGACAAAATGGTCGCGGTAAAAATAAAATGACTTTTATTCAACATTTCGGTCGGTTTTGGGTAGATAAAAATCGATTTTTAATCATATAAACGAACATGTCGTGATAATCATGATCGGCTAATCACCCAAGTAAATTTGAAATGCTTTAAGATAAACGTGTTTAAAATTGGATTGATGGACTGACTGAACTGAGCGGCTACATTTTGGGAGGTTGCAACTCGAAAGCAATTTCAGAAATCGATTTAAAATTAAGTATGTTATTTTTAAGGGTATAACCTATCGAAATATGTGAAAAAATCGAAATTTCACACTAGATGTCCGCCTTAATATTAACAAATATTTCTTCAGGTTTTAATTGACTGATTTCTCTTTCCAAACTATTTTAAAAGGTCTCGTTACGCCATCGTTGGAACTTACAACATTTTTGTGCTGGCACACTGATACATCCGCAATGGATATTGACAGCAGCGCACTGTTTAATGTACACAAAGCAGCCCAAAGAACTGTTCATACAATATGGTTCCAATAAACTGAAACCGACTAAATCGAAATTGATGAATGTCAGTGAAATTATACGACATGAGGGTTATAGTCACACCATAGCAATACACGATTTGGCGCTGTTGAAGTTGGAAAGCGCGATCATGCAAAATAACGCCGATCTGGTAACACTCGCCAAGGAAAAGCTTTGCTTTGAAGTTTTCAAAACAAAAACGCCGTTTTTGCTTATCGGTTGGGGTCTAAATGCGGTTGGTTTAGGGGAAAAAATTGTAATAACTTAATTTTATACTTCGTGTTTACCGTTATTTTCAGACACATGGCACTTTGCAACAGCAATTACAAAAAGTGGAACTAGACTTGCTCCCACGCGATGAATGCCGCAAGCGCACACAATCACAGCTTTATAGCTCAACTATATGCGCCGTAGCACCCGACGGCACTCAGCAGGGACAATGCAATGGTGATTCCGGTGGACCACTGCTCCTGAATAAGCAACAAATTGGCATCGTTTCGTGGAGTCTTAAGCCATGTGGCGCTTATCCTGGAGTATTTACAAATATCGCTTGTTATGGAAAGTGGATATTGGATTATATAAGTGGGGGAAAATATGATAATATATAAACTGCGTACAGACAAGGACTCTTTTGTCGCTCACATATTTATATATTACTTACAAAAAAAAAAAAATAAAATATATTAAAATTAAAAAGAAAAAAACGAAATAATTTCGGAATGAAAAGGAATACCGAATTGCGAGGCAGCGGACTATTACGAATACGAGATATGAGCCACAAAAGTGTCCTCATGTGAACATAGTCTACCAAATTGTAACAATAAATAAAAAACTCAAGTAAATTGTCACTAAAGCAACACTTTATTTGTCGTTAACATTGTTAAAATCCCAAATTATGTTTGTTTATATTATATATGTATGTATGTATGTAGGTAGGTACAGTCGTATAAATATAATTAAAAATATGCATGTAGGTTTTTGATAAGCGTATAGGTATAATCACATAGATTCGTTAATTTCTAGCTAAAAATATATTTATATGTAAGTATGCATGTAAGTGCATGTAAGTACGTGAGTGTATGCGTTTCAGTCATCATAGCGCTAATGCGTTATTAACTTTTGGTATTAAGCTCTCATTCTTCAGTGCCGGTAAATGGTGTTGGAATTGTTTCAACTGTTGTTTTTGTGTTGTGTTTTGCTCTGCTTTTTCACCCTGCTTTTGCATATGAGCCAAAAATGTGATCCAGAAAAGACTACAAAAACTAACAAATAAAATACGATTCGGTTCGGGTACTAAACCGAAGTTAATTGTCTGCAAAACTGGAATGATGAAAATGGCAATCTAAAAGCAAAATATACAAACGTCATTATTAGTTTTTGTGTTGGAAATATTAAATAATTTGCGACATACCCTAAGAGTTTTTGGGAATTTGTCTTTGACTTCTGCTTTAGCCGCCTCAAAGCCTTTACCTTCCAGCAAGGTCATGCCAAAGTAGAAGCTGGTGCTGGCGAATGGTGCGTACGAAGCTTGCTCAACGATGGCCTGTCGAATAAAATATAAAAAATTGTATTTAAATTATGTAGTGCTTAAAAATAGATAGTGGAAGAATTAATATAATGCGAGCTTTGGTTTTATTCTCGGTTTTTCGCAAAAGAACTTGAACGTAAGTTAGAAAATTCTAAAAACGTAACAACTCCGCTTACCTTAAGTGCTCCAACTCGTAAATTCGTTTGCGGCCACATTGCGGAGGCGACACGCAACCATCCGTATAAAGTGGGCGCCACATAACAGCCTCCGAAAAACCCAAAACGTAGTATACGCATCCAATCATAATCCTCTATTTTGCCAAAAAGAAATACAAAGCGATTTAGTAAGTATTTAATACAAAATACATCTGATCAAAATTTATCCAGACTGATCCATTTAAACTGTGTGCGCAAATCGAAACGATAAACATTTTTTATAGGTGGATACAACCTTTTTGTATTTTTGTGTGAAGTTTCATCTGCATATCTCACCTTATCACGAAAAATAAATTAAGCAATGAATTTGCTTGAAATTTTGTGTTTCCAATGGCAACAAGGCATCGGAATGGTTAAAAATGTTGCAGAAGTTTTGTGTGCAGTTTACTTTATCTGGAACAGTATTTGAGTGGCACAAAGCATTCAGTGAACATCGTGAAGTCACTGAAAAGTTGACTCATGCTAGTCTTTCATCCGCCTCGGTTAATGACAATAACATCAAAAAAGTTAAAGAAACAGTGCTGTAAAATGATCGTGTTGGTATCAGAGAGATAGCAGAGGATCTCATAATCTTTTATGGAACGACTCAATACAATTTGGTAAATATTTTGGGTATGGAGCGTGCTAAAGGCACTGAAGTTCATCCCAGCCGAAACTTATAACAAGTATATGGAATATTATATATTAACTTAAAAGGAGACTATTTTGAAGGCGATGACACAGATAATTGTATTAAAATGCGTGGAAATATATTTTTTTTTCAGTCTGGACCAAATTTGATCAGAAGGTATATATATGTATATATGTCTGCATACTTACTTAGTGGTTTGCCTTCGAGTGTTTGCTGCATGAAACTGCTCGTTGGCCACACAATTGAATATGCGATAACACCTTTGGCCAGAGGATGAGCAGAAGCGAAAAGACGCCATTTTGATTTCAAAAAATTAACTGTCGCCGGTACAACCATTTCGTTTTATACAAATTAGTCACTAAATATTAAAATAATAACTAATATAAATATTTATATATACATACATACTGGTTTATAGCTGCGCCGAGCTGTGAAACACGAAAACGGAAACGGAAATTTGTTTGCGGAAACGTCAAATTGCACTATTTATTTCTTTTTTCTTCATAATAATTTTAAGGTCACCAAAACATAGAAAGAAATGCCAGCCGTTAACCTCGCATATTTGGCAAGAGCGAAACTTTTATTAGCTATTGCATACATATACTTATATACTTGTAATATATATGTATGTGGTTTATACTAATTTGAATGATGAACAGCGGTGCCGATTGTAGACTAGACGGCGCCACTGTTTGATAGATAGCTGCGAATTTGTAAGGTTTGCAAGAAGCGAACGGGCATAGGTAAATGCAAACGAGTACTTACATAGATATATATGTATATGTGTGTGTGCCATTTACTTGTTTGGAAAAGATCATATAACAAAAACTTTGTTTTTGAACTAATCAAACTTGCAGAAAATTAAAAAAAAATGTAAGCAATATTCACTAATACATACATACTTACTTATATGTACACAAAATATATTTTGTGTGCGAATTATCAAATTAGTTGTTATAGTATAAACTTGATATATAATATAAACAAATACAAAGAAACACATTTTCTACAAAAATTTTTTTTCTCAAAACACTCTCTAAATTAATTTTCTTAATTTTCCTAAATATCAACTTTTTCTCAAATTCTATGCTATATAATTTTTTTCTCAGTTTAATAAGCAAAACCACTAAACAACACCCTTGCTTTTGTTGCTATTATTTATGACTCACAAAAATATTTTAAATAATATTTTTCTGCGTGAACACGTTTCCAATGCTATGAAACAAGTCGTAGCATTTCAAAAAAACTATTTTTAGCGCCTGCATTTGCACATTTATCTGCTAAATGCTATAGTTCCGTATTTTATTATAGCGATAAAAAATTCTAAAATTCACTTTTAAAGCACTTGTTTATATTTTAAAGGAATACTATTATGCCATTGGGTTTTTTTGCATTATTTAAGCATTTATTCATGGATTACAACTTCACTAAACGATTGTTCTGCGGCAACTAGTGTCGCCAATTAATGAAAAAATCTCACTTTGACGATGAAATTTGGGCTTCTTCTCATTGTGATGTAAACTGCAAAAATTACGTGGTTGCAGCTTTTGGTGCACTTGTACAAACATACATATGTATAAGCTTTTATTTGCTTTATTTAATGATCTTTACAATAGAAATTCTCAAACGTACGTCATTCGTTTGTGCACTTTATGAGGTAATGGAACGACGCACATTCGGTATTTTTGTTGTATTCAAGGCGAAACATACAAAAAAAAAATCTCAAATGTATATACGAAACAAATCTTTGGCAGTTCTAGTAAAGCAGCTATAGATTAATAGCGCAGAGCAACACGAAGTAGTTTCGAAAATGCTTTAACCATATCCTAATCTAAACTCTATATGCTACACTAGTACGCCTTCAACCATAAATGCTGAAATTGTAGCGTTGGCTTAAATAATAATCTGTGGCAAATTAAGTCTGGATATCCTGTCAAATCAAAAAAGTTATCCATACAAGAAAATAATTTTGATCGGTCAGTTTGTATGGCAGCTATGTGTTATAGTTGTTCGATATCGGTGTTCCGTTAAATGAGTAGGCTTTTGGAGTGGAAAAGATGTTTACAAAATTTCACTATATATAGACGGACAATGATAATTTATATATATATACACGTTATAGCGTATACGAGTTTACTTCTGGGTGTTACAAAGTTTGTGGAAAACTTAATATACTCTACAGGGTATAAAAATGCATTAAAAAAACAACAACAAAACGAAAACAATTCGGGAAACTAATTGCGGAATTCTCTCTTACAAATTGTAAACAAACATTTAGCCAAATCGATTTAGTAGTCGGCAAAGCTTTTGCAGAAATTGCAATTCATCTCAAGAGAGCGCAAAAGATAGCATTGCTAGTGTTATAGTTAATGGCAATAAAAGAGAGGTTTGTGACATGAAATGCGTGAGAAACATTGAACTTGACCAAATTGAAGAGCTTTCATAGTTTCAAAGCGAACATGTTTCCTGCATGATCAAAAGCAAAAAACAATAACAAACTAAAAACAAACCAAAAAAAAAAAAAACACATGGCAAAAATATTTATAATCAAATAAGTATATAAAACAATTTATACAAAAAAAAGTATAGGAAAGTGTGCTTCGGTTCGATTATTCAATAGATAGTAGTTAAAGCCAAAAAGCAAGTGCCTTAATGGGCTTCGGAAGTACTTAAACGCCTAATTAGTTATTCTATATTTGTACTGAGTCCACGTTTCTGGCTATCACTTAAGCCCCTTTTAGCTAAATTTTTCGTTTTTTCAAAATATTATTAATGTCTAGACAACTTTTATAATACTTATAATAATCATCTCACTAAGTAAGCCCTTTATTGATAAAAAAATTTCCATTTAAATTAGTTTCATGAAATTTTCGCATGATAATAATACTTATGCCTATCAGTCAAATCTCGCGGCAGAGCAGAAGAGAATGTTCACTTTCATGCTAACAAATTGCTACATAAATCTACTCTAATCTACATGATTACTTGACACCATATAAAAATCTGTTTAATGGCTTTCTAAAGAAATTTAATTAGTGATTGTTGTTGTTAAAATAATTATAATGCTATTTGAATACTATCGGAAGACGTAAATTTTTTTTTTCACACAGACTTAATTCAGTTCTTTTATGAGTGATTTTATATATTAAACATATATTATATTCAAAGTTGGGTTATCACTTATTTAAGTGTGCTTAATGGAAAAAAATACAAATTTTTGCTGACACCTATTCGCTAAGCCTTTAGTGATTGGTGAATCGAACAAACAATTTATATAATTCATATGAAATGGCATAATAAAATAGTGAAAGAGAGCAAAACAAAGAGTTATTGTATTAAAGCGAACTTTGTTGTTGGGAATTCAGTACTTTTTTTTGAATTTGAAAAATATTAAAAAGCGGCGATCTGATTGTTTTTTTAGGAAAATTATTTAAAATTTATGCCGGTTGTTGGGAGGTTGAGTATTCTAATTCTTATTTAGAAAAATATTAAAAAAAAAAAAAATGACAATCAGAACACAAATTTTCAGGAAGAATATTTTAAAATGTATACTGAATACCTTTAATAAGCCTTTATTCTTAAGTAGAACTATAACTCTTAGATTCCATACCTATTTCTTCCACATTTTTCACAATTTGCCTATAATTTAAAATAAAACTTTATTGCTTGGCCATCGCTGCTCGCCTAACAGCTATAATTTCTTCTATATGCTTCGTTTCGGCGTGAGAGAACCTATTATATATCTAATACTCAAAATATGTTTAGGAAAATTACTTAGCAAATGATATATGCATTTCAAGCGTTATATATGATATGGATTTCAACGTCTATTACAAAAACCAGTCATCACTTGATGTATCATTCTGATATAAAATTCGTAGACACCTTCACGCCCGTTGGGTATGACTAAAGCAGAAAGCCCTAATATCTGTTTGCTTTTGTTTGTGTGTGTGAGTTTTTTTTTTTTGGTAGGCGGTTAGCCATTGTAAAGTAATTAGGCACTTAGATAGGTAGCCGGAATTGCCAAAATATATGGTATATTTGATAAGATTGTTCTTATGACAAATAACTTCCCACATTAGTCTAATTTGAGCTTTCATCGACACTAATAACTCCAATTATCGTGTTTGTTTGCAAAATTATGCTTGCAGACGGACATAAATAAGTGTATATCTACATACATGCATATAAGTATGTGAGTAGGTGCGAAGAGCTTTTCTATGTATCTAGTGAGTGTTTGGTTTATAACAGCACACGAGTTAGACCATGCTCTGCCCCTGCGCGCACTTCTTGATCGATCTTTTTTTGTTTGATGATGTTTTAGGTTTTTGGTCATACTTTTTTCTTTTTGATTTTTTTTTTGCAATGCAATGTTGTTTTTGGTATTTTTTGCAAAGCTAATTTTGTGTTTTTTTTTTTGGAAAAATTAAGCTTGCACTCTTTGACGTGGTTACCGCCCTCGCAAATTTATTTCCATTTACGTTTTCGTAATAAAATTACACATTTTTGCTTGCACATATTTACTCACCTATTTTTTTTTTATTGTTGTAACACTAAGTAATTTTCCAATCGTTAAGTTCGTACAACAAAAGTGAGTGTTGCTTTATGTATTTCGTAATGTCTGCAAAAGTTGGTTTTTAGAAATGTCGCGCGCTTGCGAATGTTTTGTTTTGAGTAGAACTTCTTTTCATCGCACGCTTCTGCTACACTCACTCCGTTCGATTGGCCAAACGCGTGTCTCGCTAACTTTTGGCTCTCGCTCGGTATTTATACCGTCTGGAATTCGCATCTAGTGGAAAATTTGAGATCGCTTATCAACATTTTACCTGCTGCATGATGTTGTCGGGAGAGAGCGGGACGCACTCGGTGAGCGGGCATTTCGTGGATCAGGATGTATGAGAAAGCAGTCGCGTGCTCGAAGAAGAAGAGGAAGCAGTAATAGCCAGACAGTTGGTAATTAAGATAATCGAAATATAATAATAATAATAATTTAAATCAAAATATGAGTAATTTCAAAATATTTTTATACTCTCGCAACATGTTGCAACAGCGTACAATAGTCTTGTCCGTCTAGAGGTTCTAGTTCTAGTTGTTTTTTGTAACATCAAAACTAATCGAGATAGATATAATGTTATGTATAAAAAAATGATCGGGATGATGAGACAAGTTGAATTCCGCGTGACTGTCTGAGAGTAAATAATAGAAATTAATATATCATCATGAATCTTGGTATGCACCCTGAGAAGATGGATATTGTAGTTTGGTCGAATTTGACCATTGTTACGCCCACAAAATTTTAAAAGGTTAGAACTAAGCAAGCGAGCTTGAGAGTAAGCGATAACTAGAGTAAAAATTAAGATATCTTGATAAAACTTGATACAAGTGTTCCTTGGCTTCCTGCGGAGGTTAATATTGTAAAGGGGCGGAATTGGACCATTGACATGTTCACAAAATGCTGTTATCGGAACATTTGAAAGGGTTATAACTAAGTCACATATTAAGATACGAAATTATAACTTGGTGCAGGGCATCGAAGTATGTAGAGCAATTATGGTTAGACATTTTTTAAAAGACTACATTATATTTCACAGCCACGTTGATGCTTAAAGGTTTCGTTGGAATTGGTGTAAAAATTGAACATTGACCTACCTTGCAGTAAAATCCTTTACCTCAGGAACTACTTGACCCATTTCAACAAAATTGAGTGCAGTAGATTATTACGAAATTCTTATTTTTCAATACAAAATTGGTCGAAAACAGACTGCAACCGCGCCTACTTTCCATATAACATAATTTAAAATTCAAACTGATTCTTTTTTGTTTTGCATAACTTTTCAAGGTACCATATACCGAATATGTGGTCCCCAGTGCCTATAGTTGATCTGTTTTCGAAAATATCGTTTAATCTGTTCGATATTTCATTGAAATTCAGAGAGAATACTTTTTCCTATAATAATGTGCTCTTCGGCCAAAAATGTATGAAGTCGGGTCAATACTTCCTCTAGCCCCCATAAACCTAATATAAAGATTTTCGAACTTCCAGCTTAATACTGAAAAAGACGGTCATTATGTGAGTTTTCTGAATGAAATTGAGTAATGTCAAAAATGAATACAATCACTCCAGACCTTTTGCTAGCCCTAATATGCCAGATATTATGATTTTCGACTTTCCAGTTGACGTTAAACCATTTATAGTGGTGAAAGTGTGTGATATTTTGCTAAAATTAAATGACATCTTGAACATTAGGTGGATATGGAATTGGTTTGGACCTTTGGTCTTAACCTCATATTCCTAATATAACGACTTTCTATTTGATTCATTTTCATATAATCCAATAATAAATTTCGTCTCTTTGAATTACATTTTAATACAAGTATCACGACACAAAACAAACCTAGTTTCAGTGCTATATTTTGTTATATAAGTTAAAAAGATACCAATTTTAATTATAGGTTTCGTCAACAACTGAAAGTATTCCCTCGGCTTTGATCCTTGCTAATTGCGAGAGTATAAATGCTGTTAAGGTTTCAACCGAACTTAAATTTCCTTACTTGTTCATACATAAAAACATTTAGTGTTGTACATACATATTAAGATTTTCAAAAGTCGAAAGGTCTCGTTCTTACTTTATTGTAAACAATCTTAATCTATGATACTTTTTCTGCTGAAAATAAAAAAAAAGCCAATTACGCCTACAATTCTTAACCTAAATGTTACAATAGCGAATTAAAACAAAATAAAAGTAAATCAAAGGAATATATACGCGGATTAATGGAGAAATATAACGAATATACTAGTATTATGACAATTATTTAAAACAATTAATACTTTTTTTAATTTAAATAGCTTAAGTTATAATTTAGTGCATTAAAATAGATATTAATTTGGTGGAAGCAAATAGCTTTTGAATAACAAATGCTCCATTTATAACAAAATGGTCAAAAAGGGAGAATTTTCTAATAATTGGAAACCGAAATTCAGAAATAAGTCTCTAAATTATGAATACAACGATTTCGAAATATACATCTATGTATCGTGCTGATTTTCTGCGATATAGTTTAACCTTGAGTTTAAAATTTATATACAGACATACTTGTATTAAAGAGGGGTAGCAAAGGAATGCCTACTCTTCGGCGATCAGGGCTTGGGTAGCTCTTTAAAATTACATAATACAACTCATAATGAAATTGTTTGACTCCCTTCGTATATGTTTCTAAATCTATTAAATAATAAACTTAAGAAGAAATATTCTTGAAAAAAAAATATAATTTTGGAGACCAAGTTACTTGTTATATTGCTGTTCCCATGGTTGTTTAAGCAATTTTAGAGAGTACAGGGATTTAGAGAGTAGTTCAAGTTCAATATAAAAAGTTCAATAATTTTAGTAATTCAGATGACTATAATTTAAAAGCATTTCTTATGTAGAAGCAGTATGAATGAGCGATTTCTTGAATTTGATGAAGGTTTTTTTCAAAGAAGCTTCGTTGTAAAAGATGATGAGAAGTCATGCACGACATCGAACACCGCTAGAAGCTATAGGTTCTATTAAGCTAGATTTTAAATATGATATCCAGGACGAAGATTGCAAAAGAAGTTTTTAAGACAAAACCTTAAAATACCAAAAACTTCTGTAGATAGATTTGAAGGCTCTTGCATCGACAAAACGCTTTGAACCTTGAAAAAGATGCTTTTTTCATTTTAACTTTTGAATAAAAACTTTCCGAAAGTAAATGTTTTTAAAAAACTACATTTAAAAAATTCCTACTATTAAATTTTGTCCGTTTTTGCAAACTCTTAATCAAGACATATCATAATTGCGTGTTTAGTTATTAAACAGCCGTGATTACCAGAAAAAGAAAGAGCTACACGCATACATAAATAAACATGTCTTATGGGATTTATACATTTCTGGTATAACCGAGTAATAATTAGAATAAAACAAATACAAATAATTCCGTTAAAGATTTAAGTATATGTATGTATATACTTTTTTAAGCTAATTATTTTTCATGGGCTTTAGTGCAATTTTCGAACAGGAAAAGGAAGATTCGTATATAATCATTATCTTGTATACAAAAAACGATCACTCGGCTGTTGTGTGATATTTTTCATTTCACAGCAAGCACGTGAACGGTAACACGGCAAGTGCTCTCTTCATGCTCACGAACTCTCAATGCTGGCTCTCACTGTTTCCGAAACAATGTCGATGGTTATAGAGTTAGTTTACGATGACTAATCAGCGGAGCTGTGGCTCACATTCATTCAAATCATTACACCGTAGCAGTCGACCACGAAAACTCTTCTTCATCTTTAATGGCTCAACTTACAAACTATCAATTAAAACTACAGGTGTTGTATAAAGAAAATCTGTTTTGCTGAAATAAATAATTTATTTATTATATATTTTAGATACAGTTTCTTAATAACAGGTAACAATATTATGATCTTCAAAATAAATGCACGTTTATTTATTTATTTATTTGTACAATGCATTTAAATTCGTCTAAATGGGTGTCGGCATCGTAATACTTATAGTACGCATAAAATTAGCTAACAACATATTTTTTCAATATTATACAATAATATCAATTGAACTAGTTTTTAATCACATATTGGTTTTTCTATTCCCTTTGCAGATATGCATATAACGCATACATACATAAAATGTAATTAAAGCGCAAATGCACGTTTGACTTTTAACACTAAGCTCTCATTAGTTGTTGCCGACATTGTTTGTGTCAACGGTGGTTGCTGTGAAAGCTTCTGCTCGTTGATGGGTCTTTCTGTTTCATCTTCATCTACATTTTTTGTATGCATATAAGCTAGAAATGTTGTCCAAGCTAAACTGCAGATACTAACAAAAACGACACGATGTTGTTCAGGTACCATCGAGAAATTTATTGTCTGAATAACAGGCCAGATGCAAATGCCAACCTGCAGAAAAAAAGGATACAAGAAACGGTATCAAATTAAGCTAAATATGTATGTTTAAGGGTTATATCCACTTGTGAGTTTAAAAAAACAAGGTTTTTTTGGATATACATATATCGAATGTACATATATTTGAAAATATTTTTCAAACGATTTAGGTTATTCCGGAAAATAGTTTCGGATAAATGATTAGTAGATAGTATTTGTAAGAATTTGTGTGATGAGTATAATCGGCTCCCAAAAATTAAACGCATTTTTCACCAAATGCTGTTTTCAGCACCGGTGAGCAAAATTTTCTCCGAAACAGTTGCAGTGATCTTGAAATTTTCATACGGCCTTCTTAGATATATTAGAAGATCGATTTTTGTTAATAATTTCGATTTTTTAATCCACTATGAAGCGTAAATATGTATATTCACATAAAAGGAATTTTTTTGGGAAGCCACCATTTTGTCAAAAACGACTAGTCTTTCTATTATTAACTGTATTCAGCTATCGTTATAATTAACTTTTTTAGATTTTGGATTCGTGATAATTTTAAGCAGAAAAATATTCCTCACCACCAGAAATCTGTTTTGAGAGGTCTACCTGGAGATCGGTTACGACTTTAAGGGGATCCAAAATTTTTCAAAATGAATCATCGATTATTAGAGTATATTAAATTCTGTTAATGTATATTCATTTTATTTATCTATATATTTAAATACTTTTTTTAAAAAATTACCAAAAAATGCGTTTTTTCTGCTTGAAAGTGGATATAAACCCTTAAGTATATATGTATGTACATACCTCGAATGCTTTTGGGAATTTATCTTTGACCTCCTGCACAGCTTCTTCGACGCTACGTCCTTCCAATAAGCTCATAATAAAGAAGAAGCTAGTACCAGCGAATGGGCCATATGAGATCTGTTCGACAGCAGCCTGTTATAAGCAAAATATATTTATGAAATTCAAAAATAAGGTATATACTAAAGGTCTAAATAAAAATGTAAAAGCTAAGTTGAGTACATACTTTTGTAATGCCAACTCGTAAATTCATTTGTGGCCACATAACAGAGCTTAGACGCACCCAACCATATAATGTAGGCGCCACATATAGCGCACCGAACACACCATAACGCAAACAACGCATCCAATCGTAGGTTTCTTTATGAAAATTCAATGAATTATTTATTTATTTATTATTATTACTTTTTCATTTTATGTTTATGTTTTACTTACTGAGATCTCTACCCTCAATTGTTTGTTGTATGAGACTGCTTGTGGGCCATATTACGGCATAAGAAATGACACCTCTTGCCAATGGATGTGCATTCGCAAAAGCGCGCCATTGTGATTTTAGGAACGTAAGGGTAAATGTTGCGACCATTTTTACCATAAATTACGCTAAAAAATAAAATATATAAATATTTAAAAATTATTTTCAAACATTTAAGTGTTAAAGTAAGTTAAATATAACTGCAACATTATTACTAGTGCTCTTGACTTAATTGTGTCGGCGCCTAAATGTAGGCAATGGGGTTTCAGAATATGTGCGTAAAAATAAGCAAAGACTTGTGATTCATTGCAAATTTATGGAAATATACACGAATTCGAAAATTCATATGATATTTAAGTTATGCGAACAATAACAGCAAATATAGAGCTGGAATTTATTAGAAATTTTTAAGTGTTGTTGTACCATTTAATAGATGAAAAAATTTCGTATCGGAAAACATGGTTTTTTGTGATTTAGTACATACTTTATTTATCTACGAGTTTGTACTTACCTTAATTATAATATGCAATTGCACTCATATTTTATTGTATTTTTTTACCTTTAAAAATATCATTCTAAAATTTTAACTGCATATTTCAAATATTTTTTGAGTTACAGGTTTTTAAAGTATAGCCGTTCAGCTCAATGAGTTTATCTTTAAACGCTTTATTCTCAAAACGAAATTTTTCAAATTTGCTTGAGCGATTACTGGAAGACTAATGATCCGATCAGTATCAAATTTTTTCTGCCTATTTTGTATATAGTTCTCCATACAATGGCCGATCTGATTTAAAATAAAATTTTGACATGATAAAAACAACAAAAATTTTAGGTAAAAGTGAACTTTTTTTCAAAACGCCGTGAACTTTTTTTTTTGACTGTAGGTCACACGGGGAAGGACTGATTCACTGCAGTAGTGGAAATATTGGATGTTAGCGCCGTCAGAGATCGCGTCTAAAAATTTTTAATTTTTTTCTTCTAAATTTTTACTATACATTCGTAAAATATCTCAAATATCGCCTCTTTTTAGGTTGCTTAGAATTTGCCCATTAAAATATATTTTTGATTATTAGAGGATGATCATACTTACATATTATACAAATTTACACCGATTATTATAATATACCCCACTTCAAATTAACCACTTATATAAGTTAACCATTTGTATATTAAATTCAACACGCGCCAACTTACAGCCGGGGGAAAGCGAAACTTAATTTGTTTCGGGAAATGTACTTGTGGTTAGAAACACTTGCGAATATGTACAATATTATATGTATGTACATATACATATGTACATACATACATATATACAAGTATATGTGTATAAAAACAACATACAATTGAGAGAGGTAAAGCACATGTGTGAGAGACATTGAACTTGGCATTCGAAAGCTTTTATTTCGTTGTATATACTTAAGTGAGGCGCAAACTTCCACCTAGACGCTGTGGGAAAAAATATATATGTATATATATAAGTATATAAGAATATACATAAGTATAGTTGTATGCAGGTAATGTAAACAAAAGCTGTCCAAAATAGTTTGAATCAGCAAATAGTAATGACCGCTTGAATTTGTAGAGCGATTCTTTATGAAAATATTAAAAAAAATTTATTGGAAGTTATTAGTTTTATCAGTGAGCATTTTAATAATTAATTGTTATTGATTTAATTAATTCTTATTGCATTAATTGTTATTACAACGAATCTTATTGCAACTACAAGTACATACGAAACATTTATATGGCTTCTCCATCAATTCTGTCTCGTTTGTTCAATATTGCACAATATTACATATGTTGCAAATAATGCATTAAAAATGAATGAAAAATTAATTTATTTTTTTATTTTTTATTCCCAAAAACGGGATTTGAAAAAAAAATTAACCACGCATCAATCCGGTATTGAAAAATAAAAGAAAAATTTACATTTTTTGAATATTAATTTGTAAACATTTAATTTTTAATCCTAATCCTTTAATCCGGACTGACAAAAAAATTTATTTCACAATATTTTAATACAAATCTTTATTTAAAATATGCTTCTTTTGAGCCAATACAAGCAAATCAACCCTTAATCCAATTTTCCCTACATTTCTTCTAAGCCTCGTCTGGGAAGGCCTTCAGTGCCTTCATTGAATTTTGGTTATTTCGATTTTGGTTCATTTTTAGAGTGCCATTCGCTGGATTGTTGCATAGTTTGACGTCATATTCAGAAATCTGCATCTTGTCAGCAGTAATAAATTGTTTGATAAATGTAGAGTCCTCAGCTACATTGTCAAGCATCTCTTTGCGTTATCTGCTCGACGTCGTTTTTACAAAATATTCAGATCTTTTGTTAAGAGTCTTGTATTGTCATGAAGCGTGACATAACATTAAACAAAATCTCCATGAGAGATGTTGAAATCAACTGCTATCTGCTAACACGTCGATTTTTAATCACTGTTTCTATAACTTTTCTGATGTTATCGTCATTAACAGAGGTGTAAGGAATACTCACTTGAGACAAGTTTTCTATAACTTCACGATTCTTACTTAATGTTTTGTATCTGTCAAATACTTATGTTCGTCATAAAGTAGACTCCCCAAAAGACTGTGAAACATAAATTTAGGTTGTACCAGTCTAGGGAAAAAATGTTCATTGATTTGTTTTGCGCACGCAGTATAAATGGATCAGTCCGAGTCATATTAGATTAGGTGGTAGTTTTGCGGTTTCAATAATGCTCTATCATTGCACAATCAGTCGCTGTTTATGATATCGCTGATTAAGATTTCGTCACAAGACTTCATATCCAAACTACACACTTATGTACTAATATGCCTACAGATACACAAACATACGTATATACATATATGTATGTATGATGTAAATCTTGTTTTGTCTAATATAATTACATTTTTGTTTGTCACAGCGATTTTTAAAACCTTTATTTTATGGCAATTCTGTTCAAATATCATGCAATTTCAACTGTTTGTTTAAAAATGACAATAGCGGAAGGAATATAAAAGAAAAACAAATATAATTTCTAAATAACAAATCATTCACACGCGAGCAATTTCAAGTAATAAGTCAGCATTATTATATAGAACGCAAGAAAAGCACTCAAACCAACTGATTTACATAATATTCGCGTGACAAACGCGCACACACACAGCCCACAACACTTGATCTCTACGGTTGATGACGAGTGACGCCGCTACGCACCAGTTGACGCACACATTCAATTGCCGTCTTCGCGTCATTGCACATCGTCAAAGCATGGGAAATCACACCACAAGCATTTCAACTACCCTCTCAAACGTTTACATATGCACCATGGTCGCGAACTATAGACTTTTCATAAATCAATTCTTACATTGCTATTTTTGGAAAGTGTCCAGCTTGGTTACTGTCGAGGTTTTATACATGCTATACTAAGCAATCTCTAATCAGACATTGCACAGCAATTCACTTTCCTAACACTAGTTATTTTTACAATAAGAATAAGTTATATTTTACCCGACACAGCACATTCCACAACTGCTCAACACCCGCATTAGTTTATTACTGAGAGAATTATTCTCGAAAGTGGATGTATTTTAGCAAAATTGTTCGCAATAATTCATTGATAAACGTGGGAGATTGCTACGAGCATATATGTAAGTGTGTGTATATTTTTAATTAATGAGAGAAACGCTCACAAATGCTGAGAAAGCTCACCTCCCAAAAAGCATTTTTATATTTTTTACTATAGAAAAATATAAGGAAATAAATAATTATTTTTAACTAAAGGACTTGTATTCCTTTGTCTTTGCTATACTACGAGAAATATATTGTTATTAAAAATTGGAGGCGTTAATTTCATGCCTTTCCGCTGCTAAAATTCGCCTTCAAGTTTCAAAATAAACTTGTGCGAAATTTTATTTCAGAAATATTGTGCAATAAAATTGATGCAATATTAAGCCAATTGAATTAACTAAATTTTCATGTTGACAACTGTAGTAAATAAAGCACAACACAGTTTGACAGCCACTGCATATTTCACATCCGTCATTCAATAAGAGAAAAGTCAGTTGCAAGCGCCTAAAATTGTGATATCCGCGTTTAAGTGTGTTTATTCCGTCGCAAAACAATTAAATTCGGTAAATCGGCGATTAAGTGGTGTTTAACGATGTGAAAATTAAAGTTTATTAGTATTTCTGTGTTGTTATATGTTTGACATTAAGAATTGAATCGAATTGCTGCTTAAATACAAAATTCTGATATTCCTTTGCTGCATCGGCACACACCAGCGGCTGGCGTGGATTATCTGCATAGCATTTCATCAGCTTGTGCTCCAATTTCTTTAGGGTTTTGCTGTGAACTTCGGAAAAGCGTACGGGCTTGCCTAGCATGGCTTCCAATTTCTCCAAAGTTTTTACATATTGCGCTTCCTGCAATTCGTTTGATTTCATCGCCAACAAGCTGGCCTCTTTGTCTTTGCCCTTGAAGAAGCCACAGGTGCAGCAGCGTGCACAATGTATGGGTTCGTCTTTTGTTGGTGCCGGCACTGCAACTTCGGCGATTTGTTGCTTGGCGCTTTCCAGGCGATTTATAACGCTTGGTGTGACGTGTATAGCGTTGGCACGCACTGGATTAATGATGTGCGCTGTCTGCGGCGTGGAATTTCCTGCACCCATTGGTAAGTGGATAATTTGTTGCAATAAGTTAGATGTTCTTATTTATGAAATACTTCTTACGGTTGTATGAAAATTGCAAATTATATTTTGTTACAGGTTTTTCGAAATTTTTAAATTAGCTCGATTTTTATCAAAATTGACAATCGGATTTTTTGACACTTAACATCAGGTGAGTACACTGAGATACATTTTTGTGTTTATTAGAATTAAGAATATTTTGTTTTTCTGTTTGTTTGTATGAATACAAATTTTTTTTATTTATTTAAGTCAATTATTTTTAATTTTTGCGTTGTCTAAGTTTAGTAAAACACTAGGCACACAAAAAATTTAATTTTCTTTTCTCTTCATCTTTTAAAATCGCGTTGATAACAGTAATGCAAATTTTTCAATTAAAAAATTTTGGATTAAAACCCAGATTTATTGGGCTTAGGAATTAGATTTTTAATTTTAGACCGATTTTGTGATACATTTTTTATTTTTTAACCCGGCATTTTAATTAAAAATTAATTTTTAATTCGGTATTTAGGATAAGAAACTTAAAAATTATTTGTAATTAAGATTTTCGGGGCAAAAATAATGCAAATATTAATTTAATGATATTTTTAAAACATTATTTGCAACTCTGGTTGATATACCGTTACAGTTGAGCTTATAATAACAGCAGTGCTAGTTGGGAAAAAACTTAGAGGGTTTTTGAGTCGGTATTTTTCGGAAAACATGTTAGATGATGAGTTTTAAGTCAGTCGATTGTTGTATCTAATATTAATATCGTATATACCACCACCGAACCACTATTTACACAATTTATATGATTATTCCCAAAAAGCAATTAACCTTTGGAGAGCTAATATTTTGAGGCTTTCTATGTGTATGTTCTTTTAGGCCATATCTTTTTAGTTGCTTTTGCAATTTAAGGCAATTAACCTTCGGAGAGCTAATATTATATTTGGGGCCTTCTATGTCTATGTTCTTTTAGACCATATCTTTTTAGTTGCTTTTGCAATTTAAGGCAACTTGGCCCCACTTTCTAGGAACACGCAATAGTTTTGTATATTCTTGCTCGTTTTTTTACATTTGGTAAACAATTTATTAAATATCTAAATTTTTCGGATAGTACTTTCTTCTGAACAAATCAACAAGACAAAAGTTAGCTTCGGTTGCATCGAAGCAATAATAACCTTCACAGGTGCATTTATTATAGCACAAAAGGGTATACAAAATTGCTATTTTGTTTTTGAACGGTCATTTTGTAAGACAGCTGTATGCTATAGTGATCCACTCTGAATAATAGGTTCTGAGACTGTAGCGTTGTATTGGAAAATAACCTACATAGTATCTCAAATTTCATAATAATAGTTTGTCAAATAAAAAGGCTTTTCTACAAAGCCTTCAATTCTATTCGTCAGTTTGTATGCAAGCTAAGTATGTGCTATAGCTGTCCGATCTGTGCAATAGGTTCGAAGAGTGTTGCGTTATCTTAGATAATTAAATGTGACAAATTTCAGCAAGATTATTTCTTTTTTAATTATTAAAATTAAAATTTAAAAGTTTTCTATACAAGGGCTTGAGTTTGATCGTTCAGTTTGTATGGGTGCTACAAAACTTAGTGGCAAACTTAAGATATTCTGTTTAGTGTATAAAAAGGTTAACCAACATAAAATGTACGGTTACTTTGAGGAATTCACACGAATACTAATACTGTTTTTATATACCGCTAAATTATGCCAAGCAACTTTCAACTCGAACTCCTATTTATATGCTCGCAACTGTGTATGTTTATAGAGGTATCTAAGCATTTATACCGTTATGCTGTTAAAAAGGACAGTTAATCATAACAGACAATGCTAACATTCGCTGCTAAGTAAACATATTTTAACATTTTCTGTTAAGTTATCACATTTCGATTCAAACATGTCGCATGCAACATGCAACCTTGGCAATCGCACAATTCGGTATGCACGAACGAAAATTGTAGATTTTCCTCAGTTGTATTTTGTGAAACGCCGGTAATAGAGGGGTTCGCGCATTCGCGTCGTTTTTGTGTGTTAAAACGAAGTATGTTTTTATAAGTATTATTAACAAGAATACAAATTAAAGTGAGTGTTTCCAAACGCGTCTGAACGTAACATGTTAAAGTTTATAACGAAATTCGAATAAGAAACGTATTTATATTGAAATTGTTTTTAAATACATAATTTGCTGTTTTCAATGTTGAAAATGGTGCCTTCTAATTGTGCGTATTGAAACGAATAAGAGCAACGATAAACTATAAGCGAATAAATTTACACATTTATTGAAAATATATATAATATACATTTATGTTTGTATATAACGAAGTGTTTGCAATAAAGCGCTAGCGTGGCATAGATTATAATAAATTAAGTAAGAATTAAAAATACACAGGTGTAAGTAATCGAAAAGTTGTTGTTGGTGTGTGTTTTTATTATTATACAACAAGTGGTAAAAAAGTGTAGTTGCCTTAGCGGTATTTTTTTATTGGTATGCAGGTACATGCATGCTCTTGTATAAGTGTTATTGTTTGTTTACAAGTTCGCCTATTTTTTTCGTTAGTATGTATGTACAAGTATGTACATACGAAGTTAAAATACGTGTAGACTATCAATGCCGACGTCGATAAGAATTCAATAGTGTGACTATTAGCAAACTACTTGTTTGTATGTGAAATTGTGGAAATATATTAGTGCTAGAAAAATTTTGTACACATGTATATGATATATGTATGTGTGTATAGGGCTTGTTAATTTATAAAGTACTATCTGCTGCATTTTTGTTTTGCGGTGACGAATTATATCTGCTTTTTTTATGTACATACATACATATGTATGTATATGTGTGCATCATATTTATAGATGATAAGCGCTGACTTACCGGTGAAATCTAATAGGCTGATAAGAATCGCGGGTGAAACTTTTGCTTGCTAATTAAGTTTATGTGCGAGAGAAGTAATATCTAAAATAAATAATAGTAAATGAAATTGAATTTCTTGGCTTACTGTAGTTAATTTGCAGAAATTAAAAAAGCAATCAGTTTTGGTAAATATAAAGCAAAACGTGAACATGTACGAGATTTAATAAAATAAGATCATAACAATGATTATAAATAAAAAAATTATGTATCAATTTAATAATTTTTTAATTAAGATATATTAATTTATTGAAGATAATGAAATGAAATAAAACACAATTAAAATGAGATGAACCCAATTAAATCTAGTTAAAAAAATAATAAAAAAAAATTAAGTTACCAAAATTAAATTTATTAAAAATTAATAACAACATTTCCAAAAAAAAAAAAACAATAACCGAATATAAAATATACTTCAGAGCTAAAGGGAATTAAAATTACAAATTAAATTGATACAAAAATTAAATAATAATAATTAATATCTTAAGTAATTTGCAGTAATCTTGAATGATTTTTTAATCTTTATAACTGTTAACTGGCACAAATAAAAATATTAGTGAGATTAGGTTAAATAAATATGAAAGAAAGGTCAATATATATTTACATACATTCATGTACATACGTACGAGTATGAGTGTAACAAATTTAAAATTAGATTAAATAAATAATATAATATAACAAAAGTGTGGATGTACACAGATATGTATCTGAGTTTATAATTATAAAAAAAATATAATTCAAAAAAAATTAAACAATTTGACTACAAAATAAAAATTGAAAAAAATGACTAAAGAAAACTTTATTAAAATAAAATAAAGAAAATTAAATGAAAAAAATAAAATAAAAGAACAAAAAAATTGATTAATGTAATTAAATTAAACTAAATAAAAAAATTAATTAAAATAAAATAAGTTTAACTGAAATAAAATAAAACTTAAAGTATTTACCAAATTAATATTATTAAATTTGATATTAAATTATTATTTTTATTTCATTATTAAAAAAAATATAATTAATTATTACAAAAATTAAGTACATATTATTTAATTTTTTATTTATTAAATTTTTTGAAAAATTAATTAATGTTAATTATTAAATTTTTCTTAAAAAATTAAATATTATATATTTAATTAAATTGACATAATCTGTTAGCAAAGAATACGCAACTGCAATATACGAATTGAACTTATAATTTAAATTATGATGTGATATATGTGAATGTTTAAAAATAAATCTTCTTTATATTAAATAAAATAACAACATTAAGTGAATACAAATTTTATAAAATAAATTAACAACAATATTTCAATTAAAAAATTTAAATAAATATTAGAAAAAACCATAAATAAAAAAAAATAGATAATAATGAACAAAATAGACAAAAAAATTGCTTCAAATTAAACGAAATTCAAATAATTTGATTAAATTTAAAGAAATGTATATGTATTTAATTATGTTGCTATTATTGCTAGTTATTGCAAACTACATCAAAGAAATAATTATTAAAATAATTTCATAGAAAAGTAAGATTTCAAACTTATAAAAAATAAAAATAAAAATTAATAAACAAAAAAATGGATAATATAAAATGTTATAGTATAAACCTTTCAATTTATTCAATAAAAATCAACATATTTAAATTTAATTAATAATATTATTTCATTGCAAATTATAATTCATCAAAAATATTTAAAAAATATCTGAAAAAGTAAGAACCAAAAACATCGAAATTATACGAAAATGAATTAAATATTAATGTTTAAATTTAACGAAATTGACAAAAAAAATTATATGATTTTATTAAACTCAAATTAACTTAATAAGCTTAAATCCACATACTAAAATTAATATACGAATAACAAATCAATACAAATTTCCTCAAGTCACTATGTAAAACATGTGCATAAACAGAGCAATCTCAGCAAAAAAGCAAAGCTAAACAAACAATAATTGTGCATAGTATAGGTAATGATAATAAATAACAACAAAAAAATACGGCGAAGAGTGCAAAACAGCGACACTACCTGTTGCTCAGCTCTATGTTTCTTACACGCATACATACTTATGTACAAACATACATACAGACATGCCTGCCAAGGTTAACTGTTCAGCATTGCTGCACATCCAAAGTCACACCAATGTGGTAGTGCTACGAAATGACTGGAGAGACCTGCTTGCTAGTGTATTTGGGTATGGCTTGAATACGGCTCTAGCGTAGCACCGCTTAGAATGCAATGCGTAACCAACAATGTGGCACCACTACAACGTGTTTTGCTCTTCAAGCATGCAAAGCTATGTATGCAGTACACGAGTGTGTCAGAGATTCCAATGCGCTACTCAACGTTACGCTTGCTGTAGACGTGCGCAGGTAGGGTGCAATAACAATTGGACTATATATATACACAGAGAATATTCAAAATGCAAATACGCGAGCATAATAAAAGTGGCGCGATTTGTTTGATTTTGATTAGCGCACTTATCTGTCAGGATTTTTAGCTTGCACTTCTTAATGTTCGATTAATGATTCTGCGCTAAAAAGCTACATGTGCGCATTTTGCACATCAGATCCAGCATATTATCCACAATTCCAATTCCAACTTCAAGTCAAATCAATTTCACACTTGTAGCATGGCATAACAGCGCGCTCAGCAGAAAAATTAGCGTACAAGAGGAGCCTAGCCAAAGCGTGTATGGAACATGTAACGAAAAAGGATGTGAAAATAACGCAAAAAAAAAAGCAAATACCAAAAAAAAAAAAATAATAATAATAAAAGCGTAAAAATATTTGAAGCGGCAAGGTATATTGAAGCCGCGAAAGCAGCAGAAAGATAAACTAAGCTAAAAATAAATAAAGCATTTCGTTTTGAACAACGAAAAAGCGGAAAAGATGTCGAAAAAACGCTAACAACGTGACTGCTGACCGGTTTTTAAAGCGTCTAGTTGTCTTTTTTGTTTTGTAGAAGCTGTAGAATATGTTGTTGATGTTTTGTTTTAGCCACAAACGCGGCTAATACTAATTTGATGACCTAGCTAGTGTTGGTATTTATTGTTTATTTTTCTGTTGCGCTTTAGCGTTGTTCTGACATTACTCGCTTTATGCTTTTTTCGTATTTTTTTTATAAATAGTAAACAAATGTGAAGTAAAATAACAGAAAAGCAGTAATATTTTATTCTCTAATAATTTTAAAAAGAAAAAAAAATAACACAAAAATCAATGAATAAAACAGAAAATAAAATTAAAAAACTATAATAATAACTAAACTAACTAAATAAATTTGAAATATAAAATGAAATAATACAATTCTATATAAGGTTATTTTCAATTATTAAATATTGTTAGAATTAATTTGAAAAAATAAAATTAAAATAATAAACTCGTACATATTCCATCAGATTTATTAAAAATATATACATATACATATCAGCTTGTGTATTGTCATTTTTGGCAGCAACTGTAAAATAAAATTTTTTCAAGCCTAGCTGATTCAATTATATAAGATTGTCTTGCTAAAAAACGTGCTCCAGCTTTATAAGCGTTACTGTCAAATTATTATTATACCCTGAACAGAGTATATTAAGTTCGCCACTAGGTGTGTAACACCTAGAAGCAAATGTCGGAGACCCTATTATATTCCTCAGTTTTTGAGATATTGATCAGGCATTTTGGCACACGTCCTTTTCTCCTGAAAAATCTGTAAATTTGTTAAAACAGCTGATCTCGGAACACTATAGCATATATGTAGCTGTCATACAAACTGATCAATCAAAACCAAATCCTTGCATGGAAAACTGTTTTATATGACAAGATATCTTCACGAAATTTGGCATGAATTGTTGTCCAAGGCAACGATACAATCTTCGAACATATTGTTCAGATCGGACCACTATAGCATATAGCTGTCATATAAACTGGCCGATCAAGATCAAGTTCTTGTATGGAAACTTTTTTAGCCGAACTCAACTTTTTTTCTTCTTATTTTTTATAATACTTTCTTGTTTATGTTTTGATGATTTTGGTTGTTTCACAAACCTATACATATTCAGTCATCACTCAAAACACATATATTTTTATTGGCTGGAATATTTGAAAAATTTATTTCTGAGTCATAAAAACAAACCAAGATAGCTGATTTTGGCAATGTAAAGAAATGTCAAATTAAAATAAATCATTAAAATATTTATTATTGAATTTTGGCCTAGTTTTGTTACTACAAAAATAGGTATCTGTATTTCACATATTTTTTTTAATTCATTGCTATAATTTACGATAATATTTAAAACGTCCATCAAAAATTCTCATTTGTTTTCAAAAGTGTAGGCATCATATTTAATAAAAAATTTAATTAAAATTAATCAAACATATGAAGAAACTCGAAACAAAAATATTAACGGCAAATTAAATTAAATTAATATTAAACGAATTATTATTCATTGCAAATACATATAAATATGTGTGTGACTGCAACACAGCGCCGGTAAAATAGTTTTCCTCAAAATATTAATGCAGAAAAAAAGATCCGAGAGGTGAATGAAACCAAAATAAAATATTAAATAAAGTGTTGAAAGTGTTTTTGAAAAAAAAAATAGTGAACTTTTTTATTTGTCAGTTTGTGATATTCAACAACAACAATTCAATATGAGTGGCTATTATATTAAGCAACCGCCACTCGCATCCAGCCTCACAGCGCTGTCAGATCAACATTATAAAAGTGCCAATAATTTAAAAACAGCAACAAAATGCAACTCTGCATTACTACGACTTTTTTCATTAATAAGTTTAGTGCTGCTAGTTTGCTGCATCTTTTCACACATTCCACAAAGCGACGCCTTCAATCTGGAGAATCGTTTGCCAATAGTTAAGTATGGACCACATGCGAATTCATATTTTGGCTATTCCATTGCAACACATACGGTGGGCGAATACAATTGGCCGAATAACACAAAATGGTGAGTGGAAATGAAGATATATAAATTTGTAAAGAATCTTGAATGTAGCCTGTTTCAATTGGAGAGTTCCGAACCCTCAGAGGGTGGGTGCTTCCTAATATTATTATTCCAGTCTTCAGTGACCAGCTGTTAGTCTATATAATAATTACAGGTTAAGTAGTGGAATACAAACATTATTCTAGGTTGAGTTGGTAGTGTTAATTATACTACCAGTTTCATTAACTAGCTATACTAATTCTTAAATCAATTCTTAATTTCAATTCCTGCTGCTTCTGGTATATGCTAAGGAAACGTCGAATTATTTAACAAATTTTTGGCTTGATCTTCTAAATATTAATGGAATAAAATGTCAGAATAAATTTAAATCCAATCAAAAAATGTTTGTTATCCAAATAATATTTGTTGTTTGTTTCCCCCATAGTGCTTAGAATATGTTCCTCCAAATAATAGTCATGCTTATATCGAATATTTTAGCATGTCTAATTTAAGGGGGTATTCTGGTATAAAAAATTGAAAAAATCGAAAATTTTTTGTTAAAATTTTTCGATATTTTTGATATTCAAAAATATCTTCCCAAAAAAATTTTCAAAATTCAAATTATTTTCAAAGCTATAGCCGTTTTAGTGTCGTGGCAATATCACCGACTTGCTTGAAACAATTTATTTCAATACGATCAACGAGTTAAAACTTGAGATATCATGACGTCTCAAATTTTAACCCGTTGATTAACTTTAACTTTCTTCTATCAAGGAAAGATAACTTTATAAAAATTATTGTAATACATTTTGTTAAAATTTATTTGTGTTATTTTGAAATATGAATAAACAAATGATAAAAAAATGGATAGTATAATATAAATTGTTTTTTTTTTACCATTGCTATAAATGTCAGAAATAGTATGACAAGAATACTTTTTTAATAAGGCAACCAAAAATTCATTCATAATAATATTTTATTCAGCGCCTCATACTTTTTATATTATGTAGTACAATAATTCTATCAAAAATCGATAGCAATAACCAGTTTCACCAATAAAGATGCCACTTCATTCAACACAAATCACATCAGACAACTCAATACTTTTATGCAAATTGATTAAGCAAAACAAAAACTTCATTCAAAAGTATTTTGTGTGATGCAATAATGTGTTGCACTTCAGTAAAATCGAGAAGATAAGCGCGTTGAAAAAATGAGTAAAAGCTAATTGTAATAAATAAAGTTATCTCTCCCCCGTAAACTAAAGACCTAAAATATATAAAACTGGTTTTTGAACAATTTATGTACATATGTACGTTTTATTTATGTAATTTTATATGTGAAATCACCGGCAGCCATCACAAAATAAACAAACGGCATAAAACATCGCACAGAAAAATGCAGTTATCTGCTAAAATTCCGCGAATTTGCACATATATCCATAAATTTTATTGCCGCTGCACTTCTCAGTTTCATAAAAAATAAACTCAGAACTAAAAGAACAGAGTTGCATGCCAAAAAAGTATGCTATAATTTTTAAATCAATATTAAATAAACGCAGCAAATGACAAAATTATACAAATAATAAATTATGTAAACTTATATCAACAATTAATTATAAATATATACTTATATATACTTACCTGTGATCCGCTTAAAAATCATACGTATCAATTTGTTGGCATAAACTCAAAAAGTAAATTTGCGCAACATTTTGGCAATAATCTAAGTGCTGCGCAAACAGTAATGTGATCAGCAGAACTTTTGCAAAAGCAAACATAAAATATTATATCAATGGTGAAACGGGTTTTAAGCAAAAAAAATAAATTCAAAGATAAACAAATTTTTCAAGTTGTTCAAAACCATTTCCGGTGTCTTTTTTGAAATATCTTGTTTATGAATTTTAATTTAATTTATATACTTAATTTTATTTATATACTTTTAAAAATATATAATCTACAGTTTTTTGGTATAAAAATTTTTGTAACAACAAAATATGTACAATACGAAAAAAAATAAATTGCATTTTTATATTACTAAAATTATATATTTCATACTTTAAGGCAAGTCTTCATATGAATTTAATACCTAATATTTTCTTCTAATGAATGGCTGCGAAAATAATGTTTTTAAAGAGAAAGTTTTAAATAACAATATTTCTTTGTATTTGGAAAGAATTATTGTTTTTGAAAATTTTCGATTAAAAAACAATATTTTCGCAGCCTTTCATAAGAAAAAAATATTGTTTTACATCAATAAATATTAATTATTTTCATTAAACTTATCAAATATAATATGTTTATGTTAGATAAGATCACATGTGTAAGATCTTGTTGACTTACGTATACACAATTCAAATTTTGTCGATCTAACAGTAAACTGTCCTTTGTACTTTGTTTGGCATGCAAAACATTTCTCAAATATCTTGTCGACTGAGTCTACAATATTTACCTTAGTACGACAACAACAAATTTTATCTTTATCTTAAAACGAAGTTTATTTTTGTAACAAACCTCAAAATATTTGCTTCAACCAAATTTTTTAAAAAATGTTTGTTCAACACATTGTAAACTCGCTTACTCACTGGATTCCTCAAAAAAAAAAAAAATAAATAAAAAATAAATAACCGTTTGCTGTAAAATTATACGACTCTCTCTTTGTAAGTCTTAATGATTTATATAAGTTTGTGGTTCGATTTGTCACTTCTTAAGCTTTGGCGATAACAGTTAATATGTATGTATATTTTTCTGAAATATTACATTTACAATTTGCTTTTGCGATTTTTTTTTCTGATAGAAAATTTAGTATGTACAACATTTACAAACATCACTCCCAGAAATATCGATATATTTCAGTATTTCTATAAGTTCTGCAATTTTGGTTTTCCGCCTATTTCCTAAATAAGTTTTCTTGCACAAACCAAACCAAGAGCGTAAATCACACATTCATTTGCATCCCTATCAAAATCACATCGTTGACCGATGCTATTATAGGCTACCGAAATACAGCTTATATATATGAATCTAAATATTTACACATGCAGATACATATGTATGTATTTCCATGTGGTTTTATGCAATATCTGACAAGCAATTTGTACAGAATTATTCTGAAAACACCACAAAATGAATTTCCGCAATAACAATTTGCTACTATTTTTAACTTTTTTACATGTGCACAATATACAAACTGACGTCAGTATGTTTTCACACAAATATATTTTGTTTCAATGAAGGAACCATTTACGATGGTCTTATGTAGGCCTCTTGAATTTGGTTCAAATAAATATCTGTTTGGTTGGAACATTTACACAGTATGTAAATGATTATAACATAGCCTTCCTCGATTCAATTGTTTGTTCGATTCGCCACTGTGTTTCGTAATACTAGCATCGGAACCGTGTCTACATATTTTGAATTATTTTGAAATATTTCAATTGGTTTTCAATTCTTCCTAAAAATTCATATGTACGTTTATGCCTTACACACTATTGAGGGACGTGACCAATACTTCATAGCATGTCGTATTAATGTGTGGTTTAGGTCGATGTCCTCGAGAAACTGGGTTGGAAGGACATAAGGCTGAAAAGGTTGTCATTTCTGCATAATCAGATATTACCTAAAGTTGTATAAATAAATTTATATTTATGAAAATAAGTGTTCAACAATAAAGTAGTAGGTGCATACACTTCTCATTTTCGAGAAATAGTTGGGAGGAATTTGGTTTTCAGGCTGCAATATTAATACAATTTATGGTGTGATATAGTTTTTTATATCCTAAACAGGGAATATTAAGTTTTTTTCACAAAGTTCGTCACACCCGTATGTACCTACATATATACGCAAAAGATCAGTTGTTGAGATATCGATCTGATATTTTGCACAGTTTATTTTCCCCCTCATTTGTCGGAACCGCCGATATCGGATCACTATGGAACATAGCTGCTATACAGACTGATCGATCAGAATCAAGTTCTGATATCGAAAACTCTTTATATGTCAAGACATCTTTACGAAATTTTGCATAGATTATTGTCTAAGGCAATGCTACAATTTTCTAACATATTTTTTAGAACGGGGCATTGTATCATATAGCTGCCATACAAACTGACCGATCAATATCAAGCTAAAGAACTTTTTATGCACCTGTCCAGTGTGTTAAAGCTTCGATGCAACCGAATTTCGACAATTGCTTTCTATTCCCACATCTAACAGAGTAGCAAATCGAACATACAATTAGTAAAAATTAAATATAGATAGAATAGCCAGCTCCTATACGACGTGATCGAGATATAAACATAATCTTTGGTATTGATTCTAACTGATTAACTATGTATGTGGTTGCTTCCACAACAACAATTTCTGTTTATAAGAGAGCTCGAATATAGCGAGCAGATAAGTGCCGAATCGAGCACGACAGTTATAAATAATGAGCATAATTTATGGGAAATTAAGTGATTTAGGCTCAGTGTGAACTCATCTTAAGCCAGCTTATTGCATGTTTTCGTTGCCCACATAAATTATGGGCAAAAACGAAAATTTTATTAAAATTCATGCGATACAATTTACATAACACCAACAATAAGCACAGCCATCATTTTATATATACTTTTACATATGTACATATGTATGTTGTATATCTTCTAAACTACAAACATTTTCAGCATACTCCAATTGGGCATATGTACGGGTGCTGCTGTTGTTCGTGTAGGGCGTTGTAGGCGCCGCATTATTGTTGAGCTGCGTGGTACGTAATTTTTAGGGCGTAGCAGAATCGTCTGCCAATTTTGTTTTTATCGTATGCGTCTATATGTTGTTACTGTTTATCTATGTTATTTATGCGAACTTGCTTGAACATATGCCATAATGCTCAAAAATGTGGAAAACAATTATAGCAAATACATAGCATGGTAATCTACGAAGCTCAGTGTAATGATGTCATTAGTTTGGCCATTTGCGGCTTGGATTTCAGTGTTTATACCTTACGCGTACTTTACACATACAAATTTACACAATGTAGCTGTT